ATTCTCTTAACTTTTGCTTGTCTGGAAAGTTTTTGGTTTCTCCATCAAATCTGAATGAGAGACTTGGTGGGTAGAGTATTCTTGGCTGTAAGTTCTTCCTTTCCTCACTTTAAATATACTGTGACATTCCTTTCTGGCTTGTAGAGTTTCTGTTGAAAAATCAGCTGATAGCCTTGTATGTTATTTGTCGTTTTTTCCTTGTTGCTTTTATTTATTTATTTATTTTCATTTATTTTTATAAATGAAAGTTGGAGGCTAATCACTTTACAATACCACAATGGGTCTTGTCATACATTGACATGAATCAGCCATGGAGTTACATGTATTCCCCATCCCGATCCCCCCCTCCCCCCTCCCTCTCTGCTCAATCCCTCTGGGTCTTCCCAGTGCACCAGGCCCAAGCACTTGTCTCATGCATCCAACCTGGGCTGGTGATCTGTTTCACTATAGATAATATGCATGTTTTGATGCTGTTCTATTTCCTCGGTGTGTATGCCCAGAAGTGGGATTGCTGGGTCCTTGTTGCTTTTAATATTTTATCTTTGTCTTTAATTTTTGTCAGTTTGACTACTATGTGTCTTGGTGTGTTCCTCCCTGGGTTTATCCTGCTTGGGATTCTGTGCTTCTTCGGCTTGGTTGACTATTTCCTTTCACAATTTAGGGATGTTTCCAGCTACTGTCTCTCCAGGTATTGCTCAGGTCCTTTCTCTCTTCTCCTTCTAGGACCCTGTAACGCAAATGTTGGTTGTTTAATGTTATCCCAGAGGTCTCTTACAATGTCTTCATTTCTCTTCAGTCTCTTTTCTGTATTCTGTTCTATAGCAGTGATTTCCACTAGTCTGTCCTCCAGATCATTTACTCATTATTCTGCCTTATTCTGCTGCTGATTCCTTCTAGTGTATTTTTCATCTGTTTGTTCTTTAGTTCTAGTAGGTCTTTGGTATTCTTGCATCTTCTCCATTGTTTTCCAGAGATCCTGGATCATCTTCACTATCATTATTCTGAATTCTTTCTCTGGAAGGTTGCCTATCTCCACTTCATTTAGTTGTTTTTTGGGGGTTTTATCGTGTCCCTTATCTGGGACATAACTTTTTACTTTTTCATCGTGATTAACTCTCCGTAATATATTTTTTCCTTTAGCCACTGTGGGACTGTGCTTCTTGTGTCTGCCCACCAGTGTTTAGTTCCTCAGTCATGTCTGACTCTTTGCCACCCCATGGACTATAGCATGCCAGGCTTCCCTGTCCTTTACCATCTCGTAGAGCTTGCTCAAATTCACGTCCATTGAGTCAGTGATGCCAGTTTGTCATGATCCACACAGTCAAAGGCTTTAGTGTCGTCAATGAAGGAGAAGTAGATGTTTTGCTGGAATTCTCTTGCTTTTTTGGTGTTCCAGTGAATGTTGGCTATTTGATCTCTGGTTCCTCTTCCTTTTCGAAATCCAACTTGACCATCTAGAAGTTCTCAGTTCATGTACTGTTGAAACCTAGCTTGGAGAATTTTGAGCATTACTTTGCTAGCACATGAGATGTGTGCAATTGTGTGGTAGTTTGAACATTCTTTGTCATTGCCCTTCTTTGGGATTGGAATGAAAACTGACCATTTCCTGTCCTGTGGCCACTGCTGAGATTTCCAAATTTGCTGGCATATTGAGTGCAGCACTTTACCAGCATCTTCTTTTAGGACTTCAAATAGCTTAGCTGGTACGGTTAATGGCAACCACCAAGGGGGACCTTCCCAGACTGGTGCCCCTGTCCCTGTGGTGAGCCCCTGCTGACTCACGCCTCCACAGGAGGCTCTCCAACACTATCAGGTAGTTTGGTTCAGTCTCTAGTGGGGTCACTGCTCCTTTTCTGGGTCTTTGTTCATGCAAGATTTTGTTTATGCCCTCCAAGACTGGATGGAGCCTATGTTTCCCCTAGTCCTATGGAAGTCCTATAATCAAATCCCACTGGCCTTTGAGGCCAGATTCCCTGGGATTTCTAGTCCCTGTTTCAGATCCCCAGGCTGGGAAGCCTGAAGTGGTGTTCAGAAACTTCGTAACAGTGGGATAACTTTTTGGCATTATTGTTCTCTAGTCTCTGGGTCACCCACCTGGCAGGTATGGGATTTCGTTTTATCGTGATTGTGCCTCTCCTGCTGTCTTACTGCTGCTGCTGCTTTGTCTTCGGAAGTGTGGTATCTTTTTTTGCTGGGTTCCAGTGTCCTGTCAGTGTTCAACAGCTAGTTACAATTTGGGTGTTCTCACAGGAGATGATTGCACATCCTTCTACTCCACTATCTTAAACTGGGAGTCATTATTCTCAATATTCCCTTGGTCTCCTAGACTGTTTTTGCTTTTTAAAATTCTGGTGTTTTGTTTTTTGCTGCCCTATTTGGCTGAGTTCCACTGCCCTGTCTTCCAGATTACCAATCTTTCTGCTTTATCTAGTCTGTTTTTGAACCCCTTTAGTGTGTTTTTCAGATAAGTTATTGTATTTTTCAGCTCTTTGATTTCTCTGGTTTATTTTTGCATTTTGTCTTTTTTTCAAGTTCATCTATTCTTTTTCCTATTTTGGTTAGCATCTTTATGACCAGTACTTTAAGTTCTTTATCAGGTCAATTACTTAGGTTTTTCATTAAGAATTTTTCTTGGAGGTTTATCTTTTTCTGTTGTTTGGAACATATATCTCTGTTTCCTCAATTTACTTGACTCTGTGTTTATTTCCATGTGTTAGGTGACGCAGTTATCTTTTCAAGTCTTGATGGGGTGGCCCCACGTTGGAAATGAACCTTACTTACCCTTTAACCTTGCCGTAGTTCTTGGTTATTTCTCAAACTGTATATCCTACTGTTTCACACCTGTGGAGCCCAGAAATGAAATGCCCCTTTGCAACCAGAGTACACACTCCGGCAGTGTCCCCGTTTGGGCTGCATGTGCCTGCTGGCTTGGTGTGTATCCACACTGCTGCTGTGGCTGCAGGACTGGTGGGGATGGGGAACATGCTGTTATGCTGTTGCAGAAGCATGGGGAAATGGTGCACTCCCCTGCTGCCTCTGGGATCCTGGGCAGAGGCGTGTGGGGAAGGCACTAGCAAGTGGGAGAGTGTAAAAATGATGCCTGCTAGTGCTCCCATACCTGGAGAGAGGTCCAACGGTGACATTTCCGGCAGAATTTTTAAGATTACCAAATGAATTTATTTCATATATGATCTGGGCTCTTTTCAGGCTGCTGCCCTTTAGCTGAGTCCCAGGGTGAGTGAGTCTTCTCACAGTCCATTTAGGAGCAAATCTCCATTCCCTGCATCCATGTGGTTTTCCTGGATCTAAACGCTGTTGGTTTTCAAAGCCAAGTGTTTTGAGAGCTCATCTCTCTGGTGCAGGTTCACAGGTTAGGGTGACTGATGTAGGGCGTCAGGGGGAGGTTCGATTTTTGTGAGCTCCCTGTTGCTTATGGGTTGCTGAAGTGGGGATGGAGTTTTGAGGGGACTGTGTCTAACTCTTCTACCTATCTTGATAGGCCTTTTTATCCTTTGTTGTGATGTAGCTGTTCTGCTAGTTCTCAGGTTCATTGAGAGGGAATTGTTCATAGTGAGTTATAGAATTGTGTTAGTGAGAGGAGGTGAGTTCAGTATATTCTTACTCTGCAGTCTTGAACCACTTTCCCACTTGTTTATTTTTGGTATTGTTGCCTTCACTTTTGGTGTCAAATCCAAAAAAATCATTGCTGAGACCACTTTTTTTTTCTAGGAATTTTATGATTTCATGTCTTTTTTTTTTTTTTCATGTCTTAACATTCAAGTCATTAATCCATTCTGAGTTAATTTTTATGTATGGTATAAGATATAGTAGTCTAGTGTGCCCCAAACCTGTTTGGTGAAAAGACTATCCTTTTCCCTTTTTATATCCTTGGCTCCTTTAATGTGTATTAATTGAACATATATGTGTAGCTTTATTTCTGGGCTCTATTCTGTTCTGTTGACCTGTGTGTCTGTTTTTATGCCAATACCATATTGTCTTGATTACTGTTACTTTGTAATATAGTCTGAAATCAAGGAGCATGATGCCTCTAGCTTTGTTCTTTTTCAAGATTGTTTTGGCTATCTTGGGTCTTTTGTAGTTCCATACAGTTTTAGGATTGTTCTGTTTCTGTGAAAAGTGCCATTGTAATTATATAGAAATTGTATTGAGTTTTTATATTGCTTTGGATAGTGTGGACATTTTAACATTTAATTCTTCTGATCCATGAGCCTGGAATATTCTTCCATTTACTTATGCCACCTTCAGTTTTTTTTTTAATCTAATATTTTTAGTGTGCAAGTCTTTCACTTCCTTGGTTAAATTTATTTGTAAGTGTTTTATTCTTCATAATGCAGTTGTTTTCTTTTTAAATGTTTGTATTTATTTGACTGCACTGGGTCTCAGTTGTGGCACATGGGACCTTTGATCTTTGTGGTGGCATGTGGATCTTTAGATACAGCATGCAGGATCTTTAGCTGTGGCATGTGGGATCTAGTTCCCCAACCAGGGATAGAACCTGGGTCCCCTGCGTTGGGAGCACCAAGTCTTAGCCACTCATTCACCAGATGAGTCCTGATGCAATTGTTTTCTTAATTTCTCTTGTAAAGCTTCTTAATTGAAAACTTGTATTGGGAAAATAAGGCTGATGGATTTAGATACTCAAAGCATAATGAATTACTGAGGACAACTATGAAGCCTAAGTGTCATGCTTGGTTGGTCTCAGGGTCAATATCATAGCCTTTCCTGACACATTCCATGTTGCCCTTGAAGCAGCCCTGATCTAGCCAAGTAGATTAATTCTTGTGTTTTTATGTTTTTTTTTTTTTGTAAACTGGGATTTGTGGAGAGGATAATTTAACAACAAGGCATTTATATTTTTCTGGCCCAAGTTTAAGACTTTCCTTTGCTAGGTTTTTACAGTCATGTTGTTACATGATTTATATACAGCTTTAAAAATAGTAATAATAGATCATTCATATGTTCTTCTTTTTCTTTAACAGGTTGCAGAAATTTTATTTCAAACTGCCCAAAATGCAGGGATCAATTTTGACACTGTGTGTGGAGTACCTTATACAGCTTTACCGTTGGCTACGGTTATCTGTTCAACCCACCAAATCCCAATGCTTATCAGAAGGAAAGAAACAAAGGATTATGGTAAAGTAAAAGTAGTATAAGCATTAAGTTGATTCATAACCTGACACTTTTAGAATTTGTTCTTCTAGGCACTGAGGTTGATAGTCACATTGAATATTCCTCATCAGTCTTTTAAGTTGTTATGGCCTTGGAGTGTGTTAACTGTTGTTATAAAGCAACTCCCTTTCCTTTAGAGTCTGGGGATAAAATGCTTTATGTTAATTAGGCAGTAAAAAAAAAAAATGCTTTGTGCACCAAATTTATGAAACGCATCATTTTTACCAGCACTTTCCTCATCAGCAGAATGCTTTTAGAGCACATACTTTCCCAGTGTACTCTGTTTAAATTACATGAATAAAACTATTCCCTTAAAGCAATGTAAAGGAATTCCTTGGTGGCCCAGTGGTTAGGACTCTGCATTTCCACTGCAGGAGGCCTGGGTTGGGGAAGTAAGATCCTACAAGCCATGAAGCATGGCAAAAAAAAGGCGGGGGGAGGGCAGTGTAAATGCCACATGGAATTCTAAATAGAGATTTTTTTTTTTAATGGGTTCATGGCAGTAGGTTATCAGGTAGGTATTTCAAACATGTTTTTAAGCTACAACAATCTAAAAGTATTGGGACAGACTTCATATTTTATTACATTAAGAATTATTGTTTTTTGGTATTATTTCTGTTTTGTTGCCTTTTTTGATGAGTCCTTTTTACCAATGTGTTCTAAAAATTTTTATGATGAAATCATATGCTGTCTGAGATTTGCTTCCAAAAATTACTGAGGGGAGGGTGGGATTGAAATTATAGCTGAAACAAGATTGCCCATGAGTTATTAGGTGGCAAGTTGCTGTATTTGTGGAGATTTGTTATACTCTTGTCTAGTTTTAGTTTATTCAACATTATAAAAAACTAGAATAATATTTTTGCTACTTAGTGGCACAGTGTTTTATCTATATGAATCTCTCCCATAAGGAAACTATTATTTCTATTTCCTTATTATGTGTCTTCAAAAATATTTCTTAGAATATGATCATTCATTTTAAAATATACCTATAAATACAGTCTTACATTCTTGCCAATTCTTCAAGGAAGAAAAGGAGTTAGGGGAAAAGACAAAGATAGTACATGTGGAAAAGTTAAAAGTGGGCAAAACACCCACTAAATATATACTGCGTCAAAATAAGGTAAATTTGGTAGTGGAAAACACAAAAATACGTCTCTGAAAACACAGGTCTTTGTAGTCTACAGCCTGACTTATTTACAATTTGTTGGTTTTCAGAAAATAGTCTGTAGTAGGGATTGGAGTGGGCCAGTATATTTAGTCACATTACATTATATAAGGTTGTAGTGATTCATCTAAGTGGTTGTTGAATATTTTCCCTCCTAAATTTGTATACTCAAAAGGCCAGTTGTTTCGCTGATCTTGAATAATGAAATTGTTAATGGAAAAAGGAATGATTTCATTGATGATACTGTGCTATTTAATAACTTTCATCAGTCCAGGTGATCTTGCCTAAAAAAACCCCATATTTGAAATTTTGATCATGAACACATTGTGATGTTTTACACAGTTAAATAATTTGCTAGTTTTACTGTAAATATTCTGTATATGTAACTTTGACAGTTTTGAAATGGAGACATTGAACAAAACAGTAAATCATAGCACACTGAAGATTCATCAGAAATTTTAAAAATATATTTCCAAAGTGGATTATCAGAAAGTATAATTTAGATTATCCACCTTTTCATAAATACATACCAAATTTATACTATAGATACATCTTGAGTTGGTTGAAATACATAATTTTAAAATGAGATCAACATAATTTTTTTCTTTTCCAGGTACTAAACGGCTTATAGAAGGGGCTGTTAATCCAGGAGAAACCTGTTTGATCATTGAAGATGTTGTCACCAGCGGATCTAGTGTTTTGGAAACTGCTGAGGTTCTTCAGAAAGAAGGCTTGAAGGTCACTGATGCCATAGTGCTGCTGGACAGAGAGCAGGGAGGCAAGGACAAGTTGCAGGCCCATGGGATTCGTCTCCACCCAGTGTGTACATTGTCCAAAATGCTGGATATTCTTGAGCAGCAGAAAAAAATTGATGCTGAGATGGTGGAGAGAGTGAAGAGATTTATTCAGGAGAATGTTTTTGTGGCAGCTAATCCTAATGGTTCTCTCCCTTCTCTGAAGAAAGAACCCAAAGAACTAAGTTTTGGTGCACGTGCAGAGCTACCTGGGATCCACCCGGTTGCATCAAAGCTTCTCAGGCTTATGCAAAAGAAGGAGACCAATCTGTGCCTATCTGCTGATATCTCAGAGTCCAGAGAGCTACTGCAGCTAGCAGATGCTTTGGGACCCAGAATCTGCTTGCTTAAGACTCATATAGATATTTTGAATGATTTTACTCTGGATGTGATGAAGGAATTAACCACTCTGGCGAAACGCCATGAGTTTCTAATATTTGAAGACCGGAAATTTGCAGATATAGGAAGCACAGTGAAAAAGCAGTATGAAGGTAAGCATTATTCAGGAACCAACAAGAAGCAAAATCCAGCCTAAACTGGCTGAAGAACAAAAGGAAATGTATTGGCTCACGTGACAGAGTCCAGCAGTAGAAACAGCCTGTCAAGCGTGGTTGGATCTAGGAGCTCAAGTGATATCTTTCGCGCTTACTTTCTCCTCAAGTCTCAGCTCTGCTTTCTTCTCTCTTCTTTCTCAGGTAGGCACATTCCTCATGCCTGCCCCAAACCAATCACTCAGGCCTGGGTATAGAATACCTTTATTAGCTCACTTGGATAATACACCCTGCTCCTGGTGATCTGAGACTATTAGCTTTATGTAAACTTCTTGAAACCCGAAGTACAGGGTTAATTCTAAAGAAAATGGCTGTGCTGATGCCAGAAGAAAGGGACATGGGTTTTAGGCAGGCAGAAATGACAGGTGTTGGCCCTGGCAAAACAAAACACTGAGTTCTGAATCTTTAGAGAATGGAAGTTGCAGATATAGGAAATAAGGAGAAAGTAGTATAAAGTGGTAAGATTTATTTTTAGCAGAAAAAGATCTGTTGATACACATCCTTTTTTAAAAGTGTTAAATAGGAACTCAGAGTAGAGCATACATTAGTAAAAGTGCTTCTTTTACCCATCCATCTATGCAAATTTCTGTCATATTTATCTAATACTTTTTTGTTTTCACTTAACCTTACAACAGACATTTTATGTTCTTTAATAAGCATCTTTTAAGATCATTTTTTCTTTAAGTAATACATGCATATTTTTAAGCTACTTCCTTAAGGATAGATTTGTTTGTAATGACTTCATATGCTTAAGATATTGACTGTTGAAAGAGTTATGCAAGCTTCCTACAAATTTGCATTTAGTTTTTTCAAAAATCTACTTGAGTTATTGTTCTACTTCTAAAATGAATACAATTGCTTTATTGAAATTTGAAGAGCTAGTGAGACCCAAGGAATAGGAAGAAGATTTAAGAGTTGTGGAAACAGTGTCAGACTTTATTTTTTTGGGCTCCAAAATCACTGCAGATGGTGATTGCAGCCATGAAATTAAAAGATGCTTACTCCTTGGAAGGAAAGTTATGACCAACCTAGATAGCANATGGCTGGATGGCATCACTGACTCGATGGGCATGAGTTTGAGTAAACTCCGGGTGTTTGTGATGGACAGGGAGGCCTGGCGTGCTGCGATTCATGGGGTCGCAAAGAGTAGGACATGACTGAGCGACTAAACTGAACTGAAGTTCCTGAGAGAGCCCTACAGGGTGAAAATCTGTCACCTTCAGAGGAATTTCAGTTTGCTGTCTTTGACCTCAATACACCTGTCTTCACTGGAGTCCCTTTCCAGTTGCATAAATCTTACTGGTGGTCACAAGCATCAGCCTGCAAAGAAAAACAGCCTTACCAGTTTTGCTAATAAACTAAGTATAGAGCTTACAAGATTTTTTTCTCCTTGTTGTTTCTCAACTAGCTAAGCAGATGGAAAGATACCTTTTTCACAAATAGGTCCACTGATAATTACTAAAATTCTTGAAGTGCTTAACTGTTAGCATAAATCCCACCCTCGCCTTCTCCCACAGAGTCCAAAAGTCTGTTCTATACATCTGTGTGTACCTGGCCTTTAAGATACAGTTTTTCCCATCTCACCATGAGTTGAAATTGAAGAGCTTTTTTACAGTTTCTTGGAATCTTCCTGAGTCACAAAGATGCACATTCTGATGACAGCAGCCCTCGAAGTGGGTTATCTTTTTCAGTCTTTGATATTGATTGGCGTTGTATAGGAGAGCTCTTAACTAGAGTCCAGACACGTTATTTCCTCTAGTAACTCCCCATTATTAAAAATTCTTATGTGTGTGCTTAGTCATTTGGTCGTGTTCAACTCTTTGCGACCCCGTGGACTGCACCCCGCCAGGTTCCTATGTTCATGGGGATTCTCAGGCAAGAATACTAGAGTGGGTTGCCATTCCATTCTCCAGGGGATCTTCCCAATCCAGGGATCAAACCCAGGTCTCCCACACTGCAGGTGGATTCTTTACCAACTGAGCCGCCAGGGAGGTTCTTATAGCACCATACATGTTCTAATGTACCATACCCAACTCCCACCCCCTGCACACCAGAACAAAATAAGAGATGGATAATCATCTGGTTATAAAATTCCTCTTCACATTCTCCTCTGGGCAAGTTTCATAGTTGGATAGTCACCTAGAAAGATGGGATGGATTTACCTTTGCATATATTTTAAATACTACTGTTTAAAGTAGTAGGAACTTTTAATAAAATTTTAATTTTTACATGGGAATTTATTTTTCATATTTCAAAGTTTGTGGAACTGTGAAAAACTCACATGGCTGTAGGGCCAGGTTTTAAATAACCCCACCCTTGATTTGACCATAAATGTTTGTGATTTCCCAACTGTCTTAGCAGAGGGTCCATGAGTCAGTGTTAATATTTGGCATTCTGGATCTGGCTCAAGGACAATACATTGATTATTGGTAGGTGGTAGTACTTAGTAGCAAGAATGGAACAGTCTGGGCCTCAGGGAAGAACCAAATTAGAAAGTTAGGCAGGGGGAAAAAAATGGTTAGGCAGACCTAGGGGATCTTCTAAAGATGTGAGGTGATGGAAGAGAAATTGTGGAGGCAAGGTTAAAGTACAGGGAAAGCTATGGAGGTAAGATTTCTTTAGCTAGCTCTTTACAGCACAGCTGTTTTTATGTCGTGGCTGTCCTTGGGTATCTGTAGATGGGCAGTAAGACTTCAGCGTAGCTTTATATCATAAATGTATTCTAGGGTATGATTCATATCCTTTTTGGAAGTAGGTAGGCCCCTAAACATTATTAAAAATAGGTAGTAATGGAGCATCTAGATTTTAGAGGCAAATAGTATAGGGTTTTTAGTGTTTGCTTATGGGAGAAGGGGATAGGAGGAGTTATTTTAGGGCCTTAGTGGAGCAAGTATGTAGATTCATATCTAAGATTACCTGTTTAGATATGAGTTTAATATGACATGAGAAAATACATCTATAAGATAGCAAAGTTTCTTACATTTGGTGTGGTTAACTGCTGTCTTGTCATCTGTTTATTACATTGCATTCAGGTGAAAATGGCTGAAGAACATTCTGAATTTGTGGTTGGTTTTATTTCTGGCTCCCGAGTAAGCATGAAACCAGAATTTCTTCACTTGACTCCAGGAGTTCAGTTAGAAGCAGGAGGTAAGCCTATTGATTGGTAATGATTCCTCTAAAATGCCTCTTTTTCCATGTCAGCAAAATAAAACCTAGATGTGCAAAAATAGCTTGCAGTCTAATTTTAGAATGAAAATCTAGAAGGTTACTTTTTATTGAAATATGCCTAGAAACTGATCATTTTAATTGTTTCCCAACTGATGTTTTGAATATACTGCCAAAAAACAGGTGTTCTATGCTCAAGGAGGAATCCTCTAAACAGAATCAGACATTTCTTTAGGACTTTGTGGAATCTTTGTTGTGCTAATGTTTATTGTGACTTTCAGTGTGGACATATACATGGTTCTGTCATGTCTTCCAAACTTATCTGAACACATAACACTTTTAGCAGTCTTAGAAATACAATTGCAGTGGCTGAAAAACTTCGAACTTTCTCACTGATAGTCTTGAGTTAATAAAGGAATGATCTAGGTTAATAAATGTCCTATGGAACCCAATAAAGCTGCTTTTTTGTGTTAACTTTTTATTGAGATATAGTTGATTTACAGCATTGTATTAATTTCTGCTGTACAGAAAAGTGATTAAGTTGTGTGTGTGTGTGTGTGTGTTTATATAATTTATTTATTACTGTGCTGGATCTTTGTTGCTGTGTATGAGCTGCCTCCTGTCAGGGCGAGCAAGGGCTATTCTTCATTGTGCTGCCCAAGTTTCTTGCTGTGGCTCGTGGGCTCCAGAGCACAGGCTCAGTGCTGTGAGACAGGGCTTAGTTGCGCTGTGGCACGTGGGATCTTCCGGACCAGGGATCAGAGCTGTGTCTCCTGCGTTGTCAGCTGGATTCTCACCCACTGCGTTACCAAGGAAGTCCTAGATACACATTTAAAAATATTCTTTTCCATGATAGTGTATCACAGAATATTAAATGTAGTTCCCTGTGCTGTATACAATAGGACCTTGTTACTTATCCATTCTGTATATGATAGAATCTATCTGCTAAGCCCAGACTCCCGCTCCATCGCTTTCCCACTGTACCTCCCACTTGGCAAGCGCAAGTCTGTTCTCTTTGTGAGTCTGTTTCTGTCTCATACATGTATTCATCTGTGCCATATTTTAGATTCCACGTATAAGTGGTATCATAGGGTATTTGTCTTTCTTACTTAGTATGACACTGCGTAGGTCCATCCTTGTTGTACAGATGGCATTATTTTGTTCTTTTTATGACTGAGTAGTATTCCAATGTGTGTGTGTGAGTGTGCATGAGCATGTTTGTATCACCCATCTTCTTTATTCACTGAACATTTAGATTGTTTCCATGTCTTAGCTATTGTGAATAGTGCTGCTGTGAACATAGGAGTGTATGTGTCTTTTGAATAGGATTCCTGGATCATATGGCAACTTTATTTTTAGCTTTCTGAGGAACTTCTTTACTGTTCTTTAGAGACTGTACCAGTGTACATACCATCAACATTGTAGGAGGGTTCCCTTTTCTTCACTCTCTCTCCAACATCCGTTATCATCAGGTACCACATTGTTGGTTTTGATTTGTACTTCTCTAGTAATTAGCGACATTGAACATCCCTTTTCATATGCCTATTGGCCATCTGTATGTCTCCTTTGGAGAATTTAGGTCTTCTGCCCATGATTGGGTTTTGCTGTTGTTGTTGAATTACATCAGCTGTTTGTACATTTTGGAAATCAAGCCCTTGTCAGTCACGTGTGCAAATGAATATTTTCTCCCCATCCATATATTGTATTTTTGTTTTGTTCATGGTTTCTTGCTGTGCAAAAGCTTATAAATTTGGTAAGTACCCATTTATTTATTTTTGCTTTTATTTCTATTGCTTTGAGACACTGGTATGATTTATGTCAGAGAATGTTTTACCTGTGTTCTCTTCTCAGAGTTTTATTGTCATGTCTTATATTTAAGTCTTTAACCCATTTTGATTTTATTTTTGTGTATGGTGTGAGGGTGCAATCTGAAGATTGCTTTGGGTAATATAGCCATCTTAATTCTTCTAATCCTAGAACATGGGATATCTTTCCATTTCTTTGAATCATCTCCAGTTTTACTAATGTTTT